GATGTCACCCGCTCCTGCGAACCTGAGGTGTAAACAGCTAACGTCACACCGGGGCTGGGCCAGGCGCATCGCCCGGCTCCGCCCACCAGTCGTCCCCCTCCCCCCCCCCGGGGAAAGCCCGCCCCGCCTGGCTCGGAGCTGCAGATCTCTTGTCAGCACCTGGGAGCCCCTCTGCTGCATCTCAATCTCAGACTGGAGCAGCAGTAATGGGTGTGAGCACTGGCGTGTCCGGAGAAGCTGTTTTGTAGGCAGTGCTCCAGCAGCTACAGCACAGACTGTGGCCTGTGCCCCCGGCTCCATCCATCAGCCTGCCCCGTTCCCAGGACAGCCCACACTCGTCCCTCTGCACTGCCTTTGCCCATAGCTCCCCTATCCCAAGGCAGGAGGGGGGATGCTGGCCTTCCCCCAGCCATCCTAGTCTTCCTTGCCTTGGCTGCATCTCGGTAAGAACAAAGCAGGCCATGCGTTTCCTTTTGGAGGGCTTTTATTCAAAGCCATCAGTTCCCTTAGGTCTGGGGAGTACTCTTGCAGGGTAGGGGCAATAACCAACCCTTCAGCACCACGCTACGTGATGGCTGCGGTGCCGGCGGCGCTGCCTTTTTGTTGGAATAAACCTACCTGCCAGGGCTTTCCCACTGCTTCTCTTCCCCACGGCCAGCCTGGGCTCTGCACCTCCAAAGTCCCCGTGCAAAGCCGTGCCCTACTGCAGTGACCCCTGCTTCCTGCCCCTTCCTAAGCCCCCCCGTCGCTTCCAACACATCAAATGTGGACTTTGCTACAGAACCTCAAGGCAGGGATGTCTGCAGCAGAGGGGTCTGAGACCCTTTGGGAAATGGTGGGATTTGGTCATACCCGGAGTAGAGTGGTTTGAGAGAGAGTCCCCTTTGTGTGGAGCTGGCCCAGCCAGGCAGTGGAAGCACCAGTCCTCCTGGTGTGCCCTTTACTGCTCCCCGGTGGCCATTTGAAATGGGGCCTAAGGGTGGCGAGCCCTGTGAATAATACTTCTCAAGGTTATTTATACAAGCCGATGGCTGGCAAAAAAAATTGAGACTCCAGTGCCCTGAGCTGCTGTCCTTTTCCACCTTTGTCAGGGCTGTGGAAGGAGAGATGGATGGTGGAGCTATAGCACGACAAGACTTAACCATCTGCAGTTCCCTTGTGAATTCCTCTTGCCTTCCCTTTCCCATCATATCACAGTTCGGTCTTCAGGGAGTGCTGTTCAGTAGCTGGCTGGAAAGGGGTGGGGGAGGCAGCTCCCTCCGCAAAGGCCTCCTATCTGTGTTAGGAAGATTGAGGGAGGAGGGAATAAAACAGAGCAAGAAAGAGGGAGGGTTCCTGAGAGGGCAGAAGATGGAGCTATTGATCATCTTGCTCATTTCTGTTCAGAGCGCCTCGACTTTTCTCTATATTGAACTGTAGAGATGCATGGAGTTACTGGGTGGCCCTTCAAATACCACTCTGTAGAACAAGAAGACACCCAGGTTTCAGCCTCACCTCTGCTCTCTGTCTGAGTTGCGTCTTTGATTACTGCCTTTGAGTGCCAGCAGCAGTAGAAGTGCAGGGGGGAGACCACACTCTCCTTGCGGGGGAGCAGCTGTAGCAACACCTAAGAGGAAGTGTGAGAGCTTGTCCGTCTGAAGGTCGCTCAAGGTCCCCAGTTCTGAGTCTGAAACTCTTTCCTGCCTCATTTACTAGGCACATCACTTTAAAATAACTGGTTTATGCTGATCTGTTTTTCCCCCTTAACAGCCACCACTTCCACAGCAGTTCAAGTCCCTACAGATGGAGCTGAGGTCGCTCAGGAGCTAGACCAGGTGTTTGAATCTGCTGATACTTTGCCATCACGCAGCGAGGCAGCTGCTGTACAGCCTGTCATTGGGATCAGTCAGAGAGTCCGGATGAAGTCCAAGGAGAAGAAGGACCTGGGGACCCTAGGTGTGTATGACTGCCTTCAACCACCCTCTGGCTCCCAGGGTACCACCACCAAGACCCACAGAATGCTGCCTCTAGAGGCTAAAGTGCTGCCTTGTTCCTCACTTTGCCTGTTCTTGTCTTCCCCCTTCCCCCAACAGGCTACGTACTGGGGATCATCATGATGGTGATAATCATTTCAATTGGAGCTGGCATTGTCCTGGGCTACATCTACAAAAAGTGAGTGACTCCTCAGCTCCCAGGAGCTTGTGTGGGTTGTCACTTGTGGCACCGGTCAAAACTCCAAAGGAGCACATTTAAATAACTAGGGACTGAGCCAGGTATTGCCCCCATGTCAGAGAACGCCATGCCTGAGACACTACCACTGTGCTTCATAGTGTCCAGTGGCGTCGTTACCACTTCCACAGTGAAATTTTTCTGTAGCCTAGGAAATCTCACTGCCATGCTTATGCTGCGGTTGCTAGGCACAGTGCCTGGGGGTGGGGAAAGGGGCCTCCTGCTGCCTGCGCTTCCTCATTATGGGCCTGTCATTGCAATTCCCATGGCACTTGATCCTGGGAGCTACAGCTACTCGGGACCTAGCAGGATGAGGTCTTCAGCCGGATAATTGAGTGGCTGCCTAACTACTAGAGCTGTAGCTCAGCCTCTGTGCTATCTTCAGAGAACAGAAGTGCTTCATACAGATCTCAGGCGTCCTCAGCCTGTCAGGGATGGCCTAAGCCTGGGATGCTTGAATCTGTCTAGATATACTAGAGCAGCAGGGAGGGATTATCCCCTCTGCACAATGCCCTTTACCCAAGCAGTCAGCTCTAGCCAACTGCATGTTCCTAGGAGCCCAGCTCCTGCCCTGTAGTGTTCCCCTCACTGCTTGGAGGTTGTGGGCTCTCAGGTAAGGGCTGGAGTCTCTCTAGGTCCAGGCAGCCACACTCCTGCTCAGCTCTCTGCCACCACCATTGGACCAGAACAGGTGGCCAGGGGCTAAGGAGAAGCTTCATCTCACTAGTGCTCACAGAGCTCCCAGGTCCATCAGTGTGCTATGGGGTAGTTTTTTCACTCTGCTATGTGTTCACTGACACCAGTGAAGGCTGGACCTTTCAGTGGCACAGTCATTACTGCAGGTCTCGGCCTCTCTATTAGTCTGGGTTACAGAAACAGACTCTTCAAGGGACTGTCAGTCAGCCCACGCTGTATTCCAGAGAGCAGGGAAATCCTCGGGGAAGAGCTTGTAGGAAACGCCAGAGCAGCATAACCAGTGTAACTGAAGGAGCTGGAGTAAAGACAGGGAAGGGCATTGGGTTGCATGGAGGCTCCCACCAGAGTTTGCTGGAGCTTGCCTTGTGCTCACTGTTGTGCAGATCGCCTCACACTTGACCACAGTCCAGCAGAAGAAGCCCGTTCCCAAGCTAGGACACATCCTTTAAGTAACAGATTTGGAGAGCAGGAGTGCAGGGAAGGGGTTACCATAGGCTGCAGCACACGAATCTTTCCCACTGAGGTTGATTCAAGGCAGCACTGAGCTCTAAGGGAGATGCTGCCAGGGTGGTGACCAGAACCTCAGGCCCCCTCCACCCTGTCAGCTCTTCAGGCTGGGAGGCAACTCCACTGCAGCAACACAGGAGGGCTGGTCTCACATCCCCACTGCTACTACTGCAGGAAGAAGCCTGGGCAGAGCAGGGAGCTTGCCTACTACCTGGCTCTGGTGCTGCCAAGATCAGAGCCTGGTGTAATGGCAGGGGCTGAAGGGAAGCCCAGCTCATCTACATTCACTGCAAAAGCTTGTGGGGGTTACAACAGCAGCACCCTCCTCTCTGCTGCACCTCCTTGTGCCCTGACTGGCTCTCAGTCTCCTTTACTTCCTGTGCAGGGGGAGAGATCGGAAGGCACAGCAGGAACAGAAAGCTCAGGAGCGGGAAATGCAGCGCATCACGCTGCCACTCTCTGCTTTCACCAACCCCGTGTGTGAGCTGGTGGACGAGAAGACAATTGAGGTACACACCAACCAGACACCTGTGGAGGAGACGCAGGATGGCAATGCGCCCCTCATGGGCCAGGCAGGCACTCCTGGGGCCTGAGCAGCCAGGCCACAGTGACACAGGTTGGACCTACCACAGTTCCAGCCCCTGGGCTCCCACTTGGGGACATGGGACCTGTTTGTGTTTTGTTTTATTTTTGGTGAATGCCAGGGATAGACGGGACTTGCAGATGCAGCACAGCAGGGGCTGGGGAAGCACCAGCTGGCTTCTGATAGCTCCATTCCTTTCTCTTTGGAGTGAGAGGCCAGGCCTGCCATGGGCCCCAGATTCCATTACCCCTGCATGGTCTTGGCTTCCTCTTCACTGTTCCTGTCCTGTAGGGAACGGTGCACGCTGTTACTTACATTTAAGCCTGGAATCCTAAGGGGGAAACCTTTGCCCTGACTCAGAGATGATGGAGACTTGGAATAAAGCGGTTCCCTCTCATGGGTGGGAGCTGGGACGAGGCCTTCCCCTGTCCTGTGGTTGGGTCTCCCCCACCTTGGGAGAGCTAGAGGTCATTTGAACAGGCAGCAGTTAAACAGAAGGTGACAGCTTGACTGGCAGCAGAAGGCATTTGGGCCTAGGGTAGTACTTAGCTCCAGTAGCTTTCTGGGAACAGATTTCCCCACGCTACTCAAAACAAATCAAGGTCTTCCAGGGCCAAGGACATGTTCTCACTCTCCTGTGCTGGTTCTCCCAATACTCAAGAGTCCATATGGGCTGTCTGCTGGGACTCCTGCCAAAGCACTTAGATCAAGCAAGCCAAAAGACAGGAGCAGTGCAAGCAGAAACCACGCTAAGCCCTGGGTGCCTGTACCTGTTTCTGAATTCCTGTCAGATTTTCCAAGGGCTGTTTCCTGACGGTGCCGAAGCCAGCTGCAGTGTGAGCTCGGCAGGAAAGCAAGGACCAGCACAGCAAGCACTCAGCAAACCTGCTTGCAAGCAGAGCACAACACAGTAGCTTTGTTGCAGGATTGGCAACCTGGGCTCTGGCTCCTGTACCCAGCCTCCCACATCTATGCAGCAAAAGCTGACAGGCAGGTTGATAGGGTAGCAATTCCCCTATCTCCTTTAATGGCCAAAGGCCTTTGGTTTCTGGGAGTTGAGGGGGTAGTTAGGTGATAAACTCCCCTGAACACCTACAAAGAGCTAAGCAGAGCTGCAGCCATTGCCAGCCTACAGGGTTCAAGCCATCGTAAGCTCTCCTAGCCATCTGCGTGACAACTGAGGGTAGAAGAAACGCAGCATGTAACAGCAAAGGTTTTAGTGTCAACATTTATTTCAAAGAGGGAAAAATACTGAAGCTTGGTTATTTGTACTGCCTCTGAATACCATTTCTTTGTAAATGTTTTAAATACCTCATGAGTACAAGATGGGGCAGATTGTGCCACCTTGTATTAAAGCTTAACAGAGAATGAAAGGCAGCGTGAACTGTAGTGCCTGAACTTGCTGATAAGCAGTGATGCCGTGACTGAGGGGCACAAGGAAGAGCAGCTGGGTGTTCTTTAGGGGGCGATCTGCACCACCTGGCCAGCTGTGAGGCCTGCAGCCCTGTGCCAGCCAGCAGCAGACTAGTTTGCTGGTTGGTCCTTTCATGGCTGCTCTTCCCCAGCGGGGCCAATGCAAAGGAGCCAGCCCAGCCCTAAGCAGAACCCAGCCCTTGGGGGAAGCAGTCCTTTGGGAAGGTGACACTGTGGATGCTGGCACAGTCCCATTTTAGAAGAGCCATGTTCCTGAAAAGTAGCTGCCTGCAGCTTGAGCCCAGGCCAAGGGTGGTGACTAAGCAGGTTAGCTCCAAGAGAGATGACTTCATCCCTCCTTGTCCTTTCTTCGTCTGATGCGAGGGATTCTGTTTTACTGCTGCTCAGGGTCAAGCCCAGGCCTCTGGCTCTGTGCTTAGAGAAGCTGATGCAGGCACTGAACAAGTCAGGAGGCTACAGTGGAAGAGAGCAGGACCCAGCAGCAGAGCCAGCTTCACAGCTGTTATAGCCACACTTGGATTTTGATCTCCCTCTAGAGAGCACTTTCCAGCTGTACATCTCAAGATGCAGGAGCACTGGGTGTCATTAGCCCCTTTTACAGTAACGTACCAAGGGTTGCTCAGAAGCCCATCCCAGCTCATAGGCAGCACTGTGCTGGGCAGGCTTCAGAGAAGCCGTCTTCACTTTGGTCTGTTCCACTGGACACGGGAATTTTGAGGTCAGGGTATTGCTCAGGCCAGGCACAAGGGCGCCCAGCTTTCTCCATGCCTTTTTCTCAAGTACCTTCTCAAATAGCAGGATTTCCCGGGCATGTCTGCCCTGCT